ACTCGTTCCGACTCTCTTTCCGTTTAACGCGAGAGAGGAGAGAGACCGTGCGCCACGAATACCCAGAGATCTGCTCCGTGTGTAGTATACGTCGTCAGTGTGGTCGGTGTGTTGTGCGGGTCGTGCGCGCGCGCGCGCGGCCAGTCTCTCTGTGTTCGCCAGCCATCGCGGGGAAGCGAGCGGCGGAGGCTCGATCCATTCGAGAAAACCACGGTGAACTCGAGTGAGAGCACGCTACGCGCGTAACTGGAAACACACACGCGGTGGATCCGTCCGCGAGAGTGCCGCGTCCGACCGATCGCAAATATCGCGGCGCGCGCCCGTCGTCGGGGCACCGACTGTCGGTAATCATCGGAGCATTTTCGCGTGGATCGCGAAACGGCGACACGAGTGTCCGCGGCGACGTTGTTTCCGTTGCGTGGGACCACTGTTCGAGGACGAGGGATTCCCGTTGCGCGTCCGCCAACGGGCGAGTCAGTGTTACGCGCGCCCGGTGTCGCCGAGGATCTGCAAGGATCGACACCGGTTACCGATCATCGTCGCGCACCTGTTGTTCCCTCGGGGTGCGCGCAGCTCGCGGTGCCGAGAGTCGCCGTCGTGTATGTCTCGCCGTGAAAAATAACGGCCGGCGAGAGAAAAGGAGGCGGCCCGTATCCGGTTGTTCGGCGAAGCTACACGAGCGTGGAAGGGGACGCGGGAACGGAAACAGGAACAGGAACAGGAACAGGAACGAGAAGAACGCGCTCACGCTCGCACACGCTCGCGCACGTTCGCGCAGGGGTGCGAGAGGAGGCTAGAGCGGGAGTGAAACAGAAGGATGCGCGAGAAGGAGAACGCCGGTGTGTGCCTCCTACTCGTCGCTTTTCCACGGAGGGCAGAACTGTTGTCGGAGGTGCGAGCCGCGTGACACGAATGCGAGAGTGCGAGAGAAAGGGGAGCCACGAACGAGGAGGAGGCGGTCAGAGAGAGAGAGAGGGAGCCAGAGAAAGAGAAGGAGGCGAAAGAAAAAGAAGGAGACCCGTGTGCCGGTGGAAGAGAGCAGCGGCGACGGCGACGGCACCAGCGAGGGCATATATCCGGCCGTGGCATGTGCGCGCGACAAGGACAGACCGAGAAGTGGCTATTTCTGTGGAGCATATAGGGGGCCGCCCGTATAAAATAAGCAGTGAATGAAGGAGCCTGTTTACTGGCAGACAGCCTACGCGAGATTCAGTCGGCTCTCTTTCTCTCGTGCTCTCTCACACTCTCTCTCTCTTTCTCTCTGCCTTTTTCTCTCTTTCTCTCTCTCTCTCTCTCTTTTTCTCTCTGAGTCTACCGCGGCCCGATACTTGGTTCCCTCTCTCTCTCTCTTCGCGCGCCTGCCGGTGACTATACGTGTTTCTCGCTCTGCCTCCAAGAGTACGCATCCCATAGAACGGAGAAAGGAAGAAGAGTGAGAGAGAGAAGGAGAGATACGTAGGAACGAAGCAAGCAAGCAAGCAAGCAAGCAAGCAAGCAAGCAAGTAAGCAAGTAAGCAAGCAAGGAGTAGAGCAGCAGCAGCAGCAACCAGCATTCGTTGCCACGAGACGAGAGAGAGCCCCGTGTGTGGCCAGTGCGCGAGAAGAAGCCGCGG